CAAATGCCTGAACCTGCTTTCCAGGCTATACATCCCTAGGAAACTGGGGTTGGAAATGGAGCAGTGAAGCCTTGAACAAGGTGTTCTGATACATGTTGCAAGTATCTTATATGCCACCTTAACTGCCATGACAGGAGTCTTTCCCTTGACTTTAGCTCTATTCCTTGCTATATTATAGGTCACTGCTCATCAAAACCCTTCTAGTATCTGAGATTATCTTGCTTTACCAGAAAGAACATGGTTTATAAAAACCGAGAAAGACTCTGCTCAGGAGCAAGACTCGACACACCATAGATCAGTGACCATGGATGCCACATAACCTCTCTTAGTCTTGATTCCCTAACCAGTCCTTTTTTTTAAAAAAAAAAATCCTAACTATTAACTTAACTATGGAACTATGGAAAGGTTACCCAGAGAGTTTACGACAAAACTTCAACTAAACGTTGGATATGCTAACAACCCATACTCATTTCATTATGCCACTTGGCCTCAAGACAAGTATTAGGACAACAGAGAAAGGTGGTTCAGAAAAAAATTCTGAGTGATCTGATCAGTAATCTTTTAATTTTAGCGGGAAGGTTTTGTGGATAAGACATTTGAGTGAAACTTGAAAGGTGGCAGACACTGAGCAGAGCGTGTGTGTCAATTATTGCAAGGACAGTGAACAATTCTGAGAAGACATACAGGGTGGGGGTTGTAGAGCTATGAAATAAACCAACTCAGCTTCTTACTGCATAAAACAGGTTATTACATACATCATTTTTAAATCATGGTTTATAAAATTTTTAGCTTCTGAAAACGGAAATAAAGAAAGAATAGCATCCTTACTGATTTTCTGATTTTGAGTAAAGTAGAAACTAGAGGGAGGGGAAAAATTATTCAAATCAACATGGTAGTCATTACCAAATGACACCAAAGGGCATTCAGCTGAGGAAAAGTGCCTTGAAACTGACACTGGAAACATGAGAAGGGTTTCTTCCTTCAAAAAGCTGAGAAGCCAAACTTGCTTGTCACAGCCCTACGTACCTGGGGGTGGGTCAGCTGAGTCCCTGTCTGAACTGTTGGTAGAAGAAAGACTACCTTGATGCATCATGCCTTCAGAAAAAGCTGGACAAAGTAGTGTTGCTTAAAGATGAATAAAATGTTATGAAAACTGAATCTGGGAAGTCAATTTTGTTGTGTAAAATAACCTTCATTAAGTGGGACCCATTTTCCTTTTATTGTTTCCAATTTTAAATATTTTCTATGTATAAGGATGGAGTAGATGCTATTTTATGGAACATTTGTGATGCATTCTAAAAGACGTCTGGTCCGATGAATAAGATTCCTCTAGCTGCATCACATTTTTGGATTAAGTATGCAGAGGAACCAGAGCTTTCCAATCTCTGTACATTTGAGATAAACGGCTGCTACCTGGTTAGCAAAGGGAGTTATAAATCAATGAGAAATTCCAAGTGTTCTATTTTCCAACAGACAAATTATCATCCAACTTCTACCAGTTTTTACAAGATAAGAAAATTGCTCTAAAAATTGTAGCACATGAGATTCTGATTGAAGTCATTTAAAAATGGCTAGAAATATTAATAAGGGATACTAAAATACATGAGGATTCTTCTGCATCAAAAAATGTTTTGTTGTAGTCTGTAATCTTTAGACTGGAGATATTATTGCTTCATAGAGTATCGATTGGTAATGTCAGATAATTCAACAAAATTAAGTTTAAGGAAATGAACGTGCTGCAAAAAACAAAAAAAATGGCCCAAGTATGGTCATGCTAAAGAATGACAGGATGTGTGTTTAAAATCTTGTCAATGAAATATCTGATGGTACAAAAGTAGGCAAAGAGCAAGAAGGGGTCTGATAAGAATTTAAACAAATAATCAAATGCCTTTAGTGAGGAGGATCATTACATTGCACATTTAAAAATCAGTGCTCTATGTATGTATATACACATACATTATGGTTCCATTGCTAAAATTAAATTGTAAAGGGATAATTTATCCACATAGGATGATAGAGCTCTGAGTCTAAAAAAAATCCTCATGGAAGTATTTTTAAAGGGTGAGATGGTTAAAAAGTTAAAACAAACAAAAATATCTATTGAACGCTTCAGTGGTTTCAGTTCCCTAGAATTCTTGATTTTGATCAGTGAAGTCGTACTTACTAAGTTATCAAAACCATCTAAATGCTATCCTTTTCAGGGTGGATAAGAAGTATGATGTGCCTAAAATCTCTGAATGCTAACTCGTCAATTGATGCAGGTCTGTCTAGATTTGTGGGCTGCCTCTTTTAGACAATTGTGACCTGTCCATGATCTAGGGTGGGTTTAAAGAGCTCTAACAATTCACTCTGCATATAGGGCATGTGATATATTCTTAAATATTTGCAGAATGGACAGTTCTGGCCCATGACACAAATCATTGCACTCCATTCTTTGAAGAAAGTTCATATTCTTTTATGTATTCAGAATCACAGGAGATGTCCATGGGCATCTGAGTCCACACTCACAAGAGCCTTCTATTATGGTTAAAGCCTATGAAGAAGGCTGACGAGAGACTCCTTGTTTAGGGTCCTGAAATCACATAGTATATTCATCAACCTTGGATCTTGAAGTCAGTCTCTCAGTTTGGTGCCCTGGCTCCTCCCTCTCAATCTGCTCAGTGGACATGGACAAGAAAGCTGACCTTTTCAGAATCTTACACGTTGTGTAAAATTGTGATGGCAGTACTTCATCGACAGAGTTGTGATGGTTAGATGACAAATGTGAACGTAAAGGCAACAGTGCCCGAAATATAGCAACTTTCAAAGGTTGTTAGTCTTTTCGGTCATAGAAAAATAACATGTTAGACTTTTCTAAGACCTACTTTGTTACACAATGATGGATTCAGGCTGGGTCCATTTCTGTGGGAACACTTGAAACAACAGCTAAACTGATGCTTCCAAGGATAGAAGCTTCATGGAATGTCTAAAATGTAGTGGCCAACAGTGAGTAGCTGCGCATTATCATGCCCACCTCCCATTTGTTAGGAAGACATTTTGATGTCATCTTCACTTTTCACAGGGGCTGTAAACTTGCAAAGCAAGAACTGGGGATACGTTTGTGTGTATTAGCTAATATTTCTTCCATGTGCTTCAGCAACTTAAGCAAGGAGCAAAGGAACCAGCATGACTTAACCCTACTAGATCCTAATGGATGAATTTCCTGTAATAGCACTTGCTAATTCCCAATGTAGAGGGGTCTTTTAAAAAATCAAAATCTTTAAACCTGAAATCCTTTTGTTAATCTGTTAACAGACATTTAGGAAATTTGGAATTGAAGCATCTTTATGTTCTACCTTTTAATGCTTGCTTTCAAAGCAGCTCTTCTTCGATTTTTCTTTTGTCTTTATTTTAAAACTTGCCCATGGTTCTGACTTTGAAATCCACAGTGTTAAATAAGTCACGACTGTTCAAGTAAGAGCCTCTAAAAATATCCTACCGTGGGTTTCTCCATCTACCTTCCCCACCCAAACTACTTTAGCACATAATGCTAATTCTCAATAATGAATGCAAATACTGCGTAAACATGTCAGTGAAGACAGCTATCAATTTCAAGATATAATCCTTTGGAAAGCCATTTAGTCTTTAGAAAAACTATTTGGGGAATTAGCAATACTCATTTTGCATAAACAATGAATTCAAATGAGAACAGAGAGAAGTAACGTCAGATGGCTACAACTTCTCAAAGCATTAAACCATAAAGTTGGGTAGTTTGTATATAAATGTGTTAAACTGTCTATCAAGTATCCACAAATAAATTATATGTAAGTAAATAAATGTGCATATCTAGGTATGCTATACAGGGAAGAAAGGAGATATTTCCTCCACTAGTTAGGATGCCTTGGTTTAGCAGGTTAAAAGGAATCTCTTATCTTTTGGGAACTCTTGTTTTCTTACCCTCAAATTACTATTCAGGAGGGATGGCTCTTGTCTGCTGTACAAGCCTAAGTTCAAAGCCATGAAGCCATTCAGTAGTTTAGGGCAGATCAAAGCCATGGCAGAGATCTGGTGTCTTTTTGAGAATGTTCCCAAGTGAATTCTCCCTCGAGTTTCATTTTAATTCTGCCCTTCGATGGCAACATGATCTAGTCCTTTACCCTCTTATTGTTGTTCTTGCTTATTTTCTAGCATGAGGTTAGTACCTGTGCTATTCATTAAACTGATGAAACTAGGTGGCATATGGGGGAAGCTTGGGTCCCAGTGTGTTGGTGTGCAGGACCCTTACAAGATGCAACTGAGTGGGTCACTGGAGATACTGCTCTGAGGCAGGATTAAGGCAGCTCTTGTGGGACCCCAAGTTATTGCTGGAAAGGTATTAGAGACATGTTTTGGGTTTCACCACATGATTTCTGTCTTGCACGGCAACAGCATCCGCCATGAAATCTCCATCAGCAGACCTCAGCGGATGCAGACACACTGTGACTACAGTATCCCTCTTTTCTTTACAATGTTCCCAGCCACAGGCATTTCATTACTGTAATAGCAGATGGACTAGGTTTAATGGGAATGTGAATTACATTAGCTTGTATAGCATGATAAGATGCAAGAAGACAAGGGACAGGGGACCCAAAGAAGAAATAACACACACGAGATAAATAGCTTCTAGCAGACTAGTCAGATCAGCGAAAACAACCAATTTATGCAAGGGTGATCCTGTTGTGGTCTGTATCTTCACCGTCCCAACCAAGTGTAAAGAATCCCAGCTTACATTCTAGGTTTATCCTAGTTTACAAAACTGCTTCTCTGAAGACCCCTCCACTAAATCTACATTGCAAGAGGTGAACTTTCCTTCCCACTAGGAATTTCAGCCTGAGGAAAAGCTTGCTTTCCTTAGAAGCAATGAGGTTTGAAAGAGCTTTGTGCATTGTGATGAATCGCATGGTAGATACAGGTCTAGCTGCTTTACTGTTCTGGTCATCACTCAGAAAGGAAGTCAAACAATCTGGACATCAAGTACTCACCTCTAGGATTGATGTCTGCACTTGGAGGATCTGTTCATGGCCTTTGAGCTGCCGGATGCAGATTTTGCAGGACAGCTGGGTAGTGGTGGGTGTGTAGCGCTCAAGAGAGAAGGCACAGTGCAGGGGCTGCCGGTTACTGCTCCACACACGGGAGAATGGAACTTCCTGCAAGTGGAGGAGAGAAGAAGGGGCATGGTGCGCAGAGCTTGGCTGAGATGAATGGGCAACAGGAGAGCCTTCATAGCAATAATTACAGTGATGGCGACAATGATCACAGCAGATAACTGCCTAAGTGACATTGGTGGAATGTGGTAGAAATAATATCCCAGCATATGCCAAGCCGTACTAAAGTAATTAATGTCAATTCCAATTGATAACATTTGAATTCCAAAACCACACTGTGAGAGCTCACATCGCTCTTGGTGACATACACAATTGGAGAAAACACCATTGAAAATTAATCAGCATAGTTTTCCACTAAAAAATAAGAAGAAAAAATTTTTTTTTCCTGTAGCAGACTCCTGTGGTTCATCCTTCCACTCTATGCCTAAGGTAGGATGATATCTTCTCATTGAGCAAATTATGCTCGCAGACTCATTGGAACTTGGCCTTATGCTATCAAGTCCTACCACCATGTCAGAAAGCAGCACTGTCAGTGTACTGAGCCTAAACATAGTTACCTCCTGCAAAAAGCACACATACAGAAGAGGAGCCTTTAAAACTTTCATGGAAAATGCACATTAGGAAAACCACAGGGCATGGATTTCAAAACGTTTTCAACCAAAATAGACACATTTTGATTATATTTTCCAGAAATGCTTGGATAAATGTTCCCTCATCCTTGCACCATACACACAGCCACCGCAGATGCAGTCTACTTTGCACTCTCCTCATTTGTTCAGTTTGGCCAATCCACAATTACACAATAAGATGTCCACTAATGGCCAGACACATACTGAATAAGCAATAAGAAAAAACAAATTAGGTTCACTTGTTACTCTCGAGGGATAAGCAGCAAAAGTAATTTTTACTAAATGAGGAGGGAAATTATAAAATCTATGCAGATATCTCATTATTACTTACCCTAGCCACTGCCTGCTACCAATTGGACTGTGCAGAGGCTGGTTACTTTAGAATATGTCATCAGTATATATAGTTTTTTCAGGAACTAAACAAGTCTCTCTCCTTCTCAAATGTGACTGGAGTCCTCGGTGACAATCAAGTAGGTTCAAGCTCCATCAATCCTATTCCTCAATTTTTTCCCCTCTATTTCTCACCTCCTTAATTTGCCTTTTTACATGTTCTGAAAAAGCATACCTTTCTAACAACTGTGAAAACGAAAGGTGGCAAAAGACGCCTGACAGGTGATGAAGCGAGCCCAAGTTAAAAGACCAAGAAGCATTATTAAAATCTAGCTGACTCACTTTGAAGACTTTTAAGGGTAATTTTAACAATCAGTGAGAAATTGGAATTAAGAGTTTATTGTGGTATTATTAAAACTTTTTGACATCTATGTATAAAGTCTTTAAAACGTACCTAGAAAATATGCAAGTACCTAAAAGTATGCAAGGTTTTCTACACTGATACTGCAGAGAATCCAAAGTTGCTGTCTTAGAAACTTCTACAAAAGCAACCTGGGAAGTTACCACCAGCAAGGTAGCATGGGGAGGTTGTCATCTAGAGAAGGTGCTAGGAGAAGCTTTCAGCTACCCATCAGCAAGGAGACCATGGCTTGACATCATGTCCTTGTATCACCAGTAGGGCAGAACAAGTGCATCTAATGGTGACTCTTTCCCTCTTTCTTTCAGGAGAGATTCATGGAGAAAGTCTACTCTCCCCCTCTCCCCGTCTCCCTCAAAACCCCAACCAGTGGTAGACAGTACAGCAGAGTACACACTTGATGGGAAGAGCTCCCTGAAGCTTTCAACAATGTTTCAACTTGAACCATGATACTTACTTTAAGAGCTGCACCACTTCTTGTCATCTAGTCCCACCCTTTGCCAATTTCTCCTCTGGATGTAAACCACAAGAAGCTCTTGAGTTTAATGTGATTCTGTATCTCCTGAGCTCCCTATGACATCATCCAGGTCCACATGCAGGGGTTTTATCTCATGATCATCAGTACTTGGCATTACATGTAGTTCTATTGGCCTTTATTTTCTTGAAAACATTACCTTTGGAAGTCGTGTGCTTCCATCTCTATCCCCCACCCCACAGCTCCTCTCTCTGATTTTCTTATTCACATTATTCCTTCTTACAGTTAATAAACAGCCTCTGCTAGATGGAGCTTAGAAGGAGTCTGGGGTTTGACAGAAGAAGGAAATTTGATTGACAGTTGATTGACAGTCTTCAGAGAATAACATTATGGTCTTTCTTACCCAGAGTCATGGGTGGGATACGTTGATGTGGCCAGATTGCCTAAGAATTCTGTTTTTGTCACATACTTCTCTGGCTCAGGGCTTACTATGGTAAGGTGCCAGCCAGCCACATTAAACTTTGTGTGCTGCCTGGTCTCCATGGGCATCTATCATCTGTTGCCCTTCAGCTTCAATTTCTATTCTCCTCTATTACTCCTCAGTAAGCCAACTTCTCCAAATCAGCAGAGTTTTTTTGTTTGTTTGTTTTTTGTTTGTTTGTTTTTTACCTACTTTGCACTGTCTCCTTGGACTAAAGGAATAATAACATAGGGTGACTCTGGTTAGCAGCTGTTTTGCCTATCTAAGATGGCTTAGCTTAGTTGAAAGAAGGAAGTGTTGGTTTTCTAAAACTGAAACTTGAGTTATTATAACATAGTTCAAGCATTTGGTCTTCAGGACAAGGCTGAGCTCAAGGACTCATCCTTAAACACACTTATGTTTCCAGCAGTACACTGATATCCTTGGTATAATGCTCATTTTCTTAAAGAAAAAAAATAGCACCACTTACTTACAGAAAAGTGTTTCCTTCAGAAGCACTTTCTCTATTTCATCCTTAAACATGGGGAGAAGGTAAAGTATGCCCACTGCAGAAATCAGCATTCTTTACAAGAAAGACATAAGAACACACAGACACACACACACACCCTCTTCTCTTTGCATTACGCTGCACACAATCAAAACATTTAACAATCTGATTATGAGGCAGTCTCCAAGGAATGGTTTTGTTGTTGACTTGAACAGCAGCTACCAATAAATAGGTTCTTGATAAAATATTAAACAACAATAGGATTAGAAGCACTGTGATTGGAGAAGCTTTGGAACAATCATTTTTGTTTTCATGCACTACCCCCACCACAAACAAAACAAAACCAACAACAACAAAAAACAATTGAATACAGCCAAGCCCAAATCACCAACCCACTCAGTGATTTGAGGAATTTGACAAGTAATATAGGAGGACAGCATGCCCCACACTTAAAGGTGTTTACAGTTCTGGAAATGTTTTCATTTGGATTCCCATCAGAATTTGCTTCCTAGCAGATGGAGAGAATGAACAATGAGCATCACATCCTAGCAAGGGACAGACACTTGAGTTTTTCAAAAAATCAAAGCGCATTGAAATGACGGCTGCTTTCATCTTGGGGATGGGACAACCCAAACTTGTGCTTTGCTGGATTAAAAAATAAATAGCTGATTTTTTTTTGACAGTTTTCCATCCTATAGCCAGCAAGGAATCAAGGAAACCATAATGTAGTAGCTCTTTGGTTTAAGTAACCTACAGAGAACATGATTGCTTATTCCTAGAGGTTGATTGTGTGGCAGGAATGATTAAAGACCCCAAATTGTGGGGGAGTCAGAATTCCACTTTCTATGAACTTTTGGGAGTGCCCTCATTGTTGGCTTCTTAGAGTCATGATTGAAGGTTAGACAAAGGGGAAGTGAATGACAAGGCTCTCAGAGGGTATCGGGGCACTGACTTGGAAGATGATTTGGACATTTACCAGTGGAAGGAAAAGACCTGTCAGTGATACCAGGGAGAGTGTGATTTCTTGTCTCCACAATAGCTCTCTGGGATAACAAGAAAAAGGCCCTGTTAGTTCCCAGCCACTAAGTCCTAATGAACAGCCATTTTCTATTATCCATGCCAAGTTTGTCAGCACACAAGGTGCTGAACATAAGATTCAAGCAGACTGAATATAAACCCTCCCCAAAGTGCTTGTATCCGATGCCCGGAGCAAGCACAGCATGGCCATTAAGCAGGGCACAATGTGTATTCACTGAAGCTGTGGAATTTCAAAGATGACATGGGCCAGGAAATTGGTGGTGGGGTGGTGAGGAGAGAGGATGAACAGAGCGGAAAGCCATTTGGGGTAAGAAAAATGAAGTGGAAACACAAACCCAGTGGCAAGCCTCCTGATGCAGAGAAAACTAAATTGTTTCTCAGGCTTCTAAACCTCATTCAAATTATGCTCAATTACAACAGGCAAATATTTATACATGCTCACAACCCTCATGTCATCCAACCCATCCCAGCAGTAAAGCTTGGGTTTTCTCGCCAGTCAAATCCCCTTGACTTTGTGCTAAGGGCGCTAGACACTTAGCCTCCTGCCCACGGCTCACTTAGGTGTCTCTAGTGCTTGAATAATTGCTTAAGTGTTGCTGCAAAGCAATGGTTCTTTCTTCTGAAGTTTTATCTTGAATTGTTAAACTTAATGGCTACCTTGGACTATGTCAGTTGTATTTGATCCAGTGGAAGCAAGTCCGTAAAAGGTATAAATGTTAATACAAAAAAAGTGTGCATACTTATCAATGCTTGTTTTAACCATGCCATGCTGTCCAATTTGGACTAGAAACCTTGAATATTTCCAACAGAGGAAAACAGTCTTAGATCTTAAATACTATCAATAATGCATTCTTTTTTTTTTTCAAAGAAAAAGTCTTCCATAAGAAATTGTGCTGAATGTGAAAGAAACAAAGAGACTTTGGGGTATGAAAGATGTACTGCTTCTTTCCATTATTTGAAAGGTAGAGGAGAGATGCTAATTTTCCATCTACTGGTTTACTCCCAATTGCTCACAACAGAGAGAGCTGAGCCAGACTGAATCCTAAGTTTCCCACATTCATGGAAGGGGCCCAAGCACTTCGTCCTTCTCTTCTGCCTTGAAGGGTGGTGAGACGTTTCTGTATTAGTAAGAGGCTAGATTACAAGCTCAGCCACGACTTGGAATAGGTACTTGGGACATGGGATATGGGAATTCTAACCAATGACTTCACTACTGCACAAAACGTGTGCCCTGATGCCTCTGGAAGTGCCAAAATTTGACATGGCATGAAAAGTATAATAGCAAATTTTAAAAAAAGCAATCTTGTCATTTGTAAACTGAAGCTGAGAAGTTTAAAGAGTTGGTGGTTCAATATTTGTGTGATGATCATGGTACAGTTAAGGCTAATGTGGGCCCGGTGCGGTGGTACAGTGGTTAAGGTCCTCGCCTTGCACGCCCAGGATCCCATATGGGCGCCAGTTCTAGCCCGGCAGCCCCGCTTCCCATCCAGCTCCCTGCCTGTGGCCTGGGAAAGCAGTCGAGGACGGCCCAAAGCTTTGGGACCCTGCACCCGCGTGGGAGACCCGGAAAGGCTCCTGGCTTCGGATCGGCATAGTATCGGCCTGTTGCGCTCACTTGGGGAGTGAATCATCGGACGGAAGATCTTCCTCTCTGTCTCTCCTCTCTGTATATCCGCCTTTCCAATAAAATAAAATAATAAAACTCAATCTTTCAAAAAAAAAAAGACTAATGTGACGTGGCTTGTTCTTATTCTGAAAGGTGATTATCCCATGTAGGGCTTTCAAAACGATTATGAGGACAGCAAGGTTAAAGACCCCACAGAGCTTTCTACAATCTTCTGTGGATGACACAAAAAGCATGGAATTGAAGCTCAACGTGAGTCCAGACTGATGGGGAGTGCAGTAGCAACCTTCTCGGAGTTAAGGAAATCTGCTGGCAGGTGAAAACCCAGATGACTCTGGGTTAAGAAATTATGATATAGGAGCCAGTGCCATGGCATAGTAGGCTACACTTCTACCTTTAGTATCGGCATTCCACAGGGGCATCACTCTGAGTCCTGGCTGCTCCATTTCTGATCTAGCTGCCTGCTTATGACCTGGGAAAGCAGTGGGAACGTGGCTCAAGTCCTTTTGGCCTATGCATCCATGTAGGAGACCCTGAAGTGGCTTCTGGCTTCAGATTGGCTCAGCAATGGCTGTCATGGCCATGTGGGGAGTGAACCAGAAGATGGAAGATCTATGTCTCTTGTTCTCTCTGTAACTGCCTTTCTAACAAAAAGGAAATAAATGAATTATGGTATAGACAACGGACTGTGACAGTGCTGTTCACAGATGGCAGTATTTTTAACTGATAAGAGATGCGATCATTCTAGGCATGTATTCAAAGTCCTTAAAAATGATCCAGACAGAACCACTATAGTTCTAGAAAACTTCAATGAAAGACATGTATATAAAGGTACAGATACTCTTGTAGAGTATTTTGACAAGTTGGTGGCAAGTTGATTTAAAATGTTACGTTTTTCATTGCGGTTCTGAACTGGTTTTTCCTGCTATACAAAAGGTCCTCAAGTAGTTTAAAGTATCTAAAGTATGAAAAATCTATGCATGGATTTCAACTTTTCAAAAAGATTTATTATTTAGAATGGTAGAAATGAGAGATTTTTCTATATGCTTGTTCATTCCCCAAATGTTCAGAAGGATCAGGACTGGATCAAGAGTGGAAAGCTGAAACCAGAAATCCCATCTGGATCTCCTACGTGGGTGACAGGGCCGAACCACTGGGCCCACCCCCTGCTGCTTTCCCACGTGTGGGGCTCAGGATCAGAGGTGGAACTTTTAGGGTTTTAATAGGTGTCCATATAGGATGCCAGCATTGTAGTTAGGGGCTTGTTTATGACTCTAGCACAATGCTAACCCCTCAATTTATTTTTGTACCAGAATAAACATTCTTCTAGAGGCCTACTTCAGGGTTCTGTTTTTGTTTTTCTACATGAAAATTACAGATTGAGAGAGTAAGCTCCCATCTGCAGATTTATTCCCCAAATGCCCACCCAGAGCCAAGGCAAATGTCTCAAGGCAGGTCTCCCACGTGGGTGCCAGGGATTCAGTTATTGGAGTCTTCACTGCTGCAGAGTGAGAAGTTGAATCCAGGTACTCCGATAAGGGATGTGGATGTACCAGGTAGGCATGCCAAATGGCCGCCTCTTAAACTTGTTCAAATTCCATTCCAGGAAACCACTGTTACTCATATGAAAGGCAGATTGACAGAGAGATAGGAAGGTCTTCCATCTATTGATTTATGTCCACTTGGCTGCAACAGCCAGGGTGGAGTCATGCCAAAGCCAGGAGACAAGAACTCCACTCTTGCTTCCTCCATGGGTGGCAGGGGCCAAAGCACTCAGGTCGTTCATTGTTGCCTTATCAGTCACATTAGCAGAGAGCTAAACTCGAAAGAGCAGTGGCCAGGCCTCGGACCTGCCCTCTGAGAAGGGATGACCCCTCCTTCCCATGTATGTTGCAAGTAGAGAGTTAAGCCACTGTGCCACAACACCTACCCCCACCTTCCCAAACTTTCTGAGGTGCTGGGTTTCCAAGTAGATTAAAAAGAGGAAATTACAAATTGAAAAGCAGAGAAAAGATACTCTTTAGAATCTGTTTATAATTCTATATCTTGGTATAAAATTAAGATCCATGTCTACTTTTAAAAAAATGTAACACATTTGTCATGAACTTTTTGAGGATCTCGTCCCCAACATGAAAGGATAAATATCTCATATTCATATCCTCCTGGCCACAGCTCCAACACCCATGACCTTCAAGAACTATCTCCCTAAACATACAGTTAATTCATTGCTGGCTAGCATTACGACAATGACTCATAACAAAATGATTCCAGTGAAGACCAACCATAGACATACGTTGCCTTTAGGATTTTAGCTGAGCCATCTTCCACCTGCACTGAGCAACAACTCTCACAGCAGAGAGGAACAATGCCACGTTCCCCGACTAGCAAGCACCTGACTTCCCCTCTGTTAGAAATGCGTGGCTTTGTGACAGTGTGTAGCCCATACTCCAGGACAGTTCTGAGATAAGCTTCGGCCTCTGACAGAGGACATTTGAGGACCTTGGTCAGATTTCTGACCACATTTGCTGGGTGAGGCATAGTGGATGGTGTTGGGAGACCCATGTGGCTGGTACCTGGCAGGCAGTGAATGGTTTAATTCTCCAGAGGAAGGGTGGGATATCCAACACGGAGATTTGCAGGCTAAAGGTGTTCCCTTTGAAATGCAGCAACTTTGGTTCCTCCAGGAGCTGCCCACCTTGATGCCTCTCATCGGAAACCACTTCCTGCAAGAAAGGAAAAAGTAGACAGGGACCATTGTGAGGCAGCCAGTGTTTCCGACACCCTCACTGGGGAAGCAGGTGTCCCCTACCAGGAGTCCCTGAGGAGGGACAAACCATCTATTAGGCCATCTGTCATGAACATCTTCCAAACCCCTTTCAAGGTTCAAGACTAACACCAGAACATTGCTTAGATAAAAGGATATGGCGAGGGGCATGGCATAGTAGGTTAAGCCTCTGCCTACAGTGCCAGCATTCCCTTCAGGGCACTGCTCTGAATCCTGGAAGCTCCACTTCAGATCCAGCTTCCTGCTCATGGCCTGGGGAAGGAGAAGAAAATAGTTCAAGTCTTTGGGACCCACGTAGGAAACCTGGAAAAAACTCCTGACTCCAGATTGGCTCAGTGCTGGCTATTGAGGCCATTTAGGAGTGAACCAGCAAATGAAAGACCTTTCTCTGTCTTTCTCTCCCTGTAACTCTGACTTGCAAATGAAAACAAATATTTGTAAAACGGACATGTTCTGGAGCAATGGCGGTTCGTTATAATTTGTGTTGCTTAAGCTTTTATGGTACTATTCTTGAAAACATCATCCCTGCTTCCAGATTAAGCTACTGTTGAGTTCCAAATGCCATGCCATAATAGGATGCTTGTATTGCAAGCAGTAGCTTAATGCACTGCGGCACAAGGGGAGACCTCTGATATTTATTCCTCTGACTCAAATGTTCCAGAATATAGGCATCATGCTTATTTTGTAGTAACAGTCACATTGGTCATCATACCAAAAGAAGACAAAATAAGTTGCTGTTTAGTTAACTCAAGATCAAAAACGAAGTTTTCTGGGATAGACACCTCTGCATCTTTTACTGAGAGATTCTGATAATTCTATTTAATACCTTTAATTGGCTTTAAAATGGTGGTGCTTACAAGTGTATTGTAGAGATAAATAAAATAATGGGACAAATATATATTATTTAAAATGTTACACACTGTGGGCTAAGACTTCCATTGTGACTAGAGAGAAGCAATCACCCTAAATCTATGTTTAAGATCACCATTAATTGGCTTATACTTTCCTTGCAGTGCAAATTAAAAAAAATACAAAAGCTCAAATTCTTTATGCCCTATAGCATTTCCAGAGTTTAAAAATAAAGGGTGGTGAGAAGTAATGAGAAAGAGTTTAGAAATACAGCACAACTTGCATTTCAATTAAAAACCAGTAATAGCCACTTGGCAAGCTACTTCATTTTGAGGCTTAAATTGGAATGACATTAGTGAAACAATTCTAAACATTTCAAAGGAAAGGCCACTCAACTCCTCTCCTACTTGTACCCATTAACTAGCAGGGGAAAGGAATGATTCAGATCCAATGTGGATTTGTCCATCTCTTTGCCCTACCTGGGAGGGCTTGTTTCTTGGGATTCTTGGGTAAGCATTTAACTCTGGGATGGTGGAACTGTTTTTCACATGATGAAAAAGTGGTAGTTGAGTGGCTGCTAGTGCGCTTGCACTGCAGCTGCTGGGATCCTGGAGCCGATGTGTCTAATTTCAGTTAAATTCCAACACATGGTCAGTGCTAGATTGTAAATTTCCTGTTGGACGTAATCGCGCAGTAGCTGGTAGCAACCGTCTACTGAGTACAAGAGAAGGAAAGTGTCCGAGCTGGAATGGAATCCATTCTCAGTGTTTACTTGGGTGAGATAGTAGTCTTTTTGCAGGTGCTGCCCACGGATTCCTTCTTTTGGGCTTGTCTAAGTGTCAAGCATTCAGACTCAGAGGGATATGGAGCTGGCTGAAATGTGCCAATTTGGGTTGTGGTGCAGGGAGAGTGGCAGAGCAGGCTTAATAGTGTAACAAAACCCCTAGATTGTTACAGTACCTATAAACCTTAAAGGAGTGGCCAGAGGAAAGTGGAGGGACTAACAGAGGAGGGGAGACTCTATTTGAACTTGATAATCAATACAGAGGTTGCTCCTAGGGGAGGAGGAAGAAGTCATTCTTGGTAGGAAGCAGCCAATGCACCAATGCAAGATGGCCAAATGGAGGGGAGATAAAGGCAGGTGCCAAGTGTGCAGCTGGGGTTGATGATTATGATGCTGAAATTGTCATTCATTTTATTCTGGAGTAATACTGACATACATAAGAATCTCCTGGGTGCTACATACACTCTAAAGGGTACTATTCTTGCAAAATGAAGATGGGGGGTATATAATTCCAACAACTGTTGCATGTAGTCTTTGGTGAATTATACTTTTTTTTTTTTTTTGGTTTTAGTACCTTACCTGAGTTTATTTATAGACACACTAAATAATTATCATGAGAATATGTTAATCTCCTTTTGCAATTATGGTACAAGATTAGAAACAGGTACTCATAAGAAATGGGGTTTATTAAAACCATATTAAAGCCACAGTATAATAACTGTGTTGACTCTTCTAAGTATATTTGAATTAGACTCTCCAAAGAATACTCCTTTTCTTTAAATCTAACTCAGTGTAATTCCTAGGGAAGCCACCTGATACCAGGAGATGAAGTAACTTATTGGAGATCATGTATTACTTAGCGCAGTGCCAGGCTAATTTATGGTTTAGAAACCACATGGAATTATTGTACTAGAAGGGAACTTAATGAAGATTTAGCTCATTAAAGCTCTTATTTACCGACAAAAACATGGAAGCCCCAGAAGGAAGCTCATTTTCCTGAAGCTACATGGTTAGGGACAGAACTAAGGCTGGACTATGAACCCTGAGTGAGTCTTTCCTACTAAAATTCCTTGGCATTCTCTTAGAATGACTTGGCATTTTTTTTTACAAGAGTCATGTCAAGGTTAGACTGCTGTTAATTCTGTCGCATAAGTGGTTTATCATTAATGGCAAGGTGTATGCATTAAAAAGACATAAATCATGTCTATATTTGCTCTGTATTCATAGATACTGTCTACATAGTCATAGAATGCAGAATGAAGAATACTAGGAATTCAAAAACCTTCTATCCAGTGTAACGATTATGGAAGAAAAGGGTAGCTGTTAAACAGTTCTCCTTTAGGACCACAAAGTTAAATACAATTAGCATGTTTTTTTTCTTTCTCTACTAATCGACTATGAATGATTAACAATGTCCTATAATCTTGTACAAAATATTAAGCAATTATAGTTATTCTGCAACAGATCAATTATTGAAATGGAAAAGATTAGTAATGAAGGAGTCATTTCATTTGTGTATTTGTAAGGGCACAACTAGCATGAAAGATAAATAAATCCCTGAGTGACAGCTTTCGGATACTAACCATGGAGAACAGAATGGGTAGTACTTAACACAGATTTCCCAGTCACGTCTTTGGCTCAGGGGCTGCATTTTTAAATGTTTTTCCATTTTGGGAATCAGTGACACCAACGCCTCAGCCAGGTTCTCACTCACCTGGATATTACTGAGAGTGAAGCCAGACATGCACCTGCTTTTCCTATCTACTGCCTCTGTGATAAGGTTACCTCTTGCTAAATCTCTGCCTCACTGTGAAGTTGATACTTGAGTTAATGAAACTAGGAGAAGGGTCTGGCTGGCGGTTTTGTAAGGAACTTTAGTTCCTCATCTCACTTTTGGGGACTTCAAGGCATCCTATTCTAGAAACTGTGGCCATGAGAAATCTGTGCCTTGTGACTCACTGAGCTCTTTATGTTGATTTAATGAGACAGGCAGCAGTATTTAGGTGTGCTTCAGGGATACTGCAACAGGCAGGATAAATTTACATATTTATGAGACAAAACTGTTTGAACCTACACACACACACACACACACACAAATTATGTCACTGTGGTGTTTGTCTTTAAATGCTCTATGTGAACAATATTTCCCAAGGTTGCATTATTGATAAACACAAGAGCTACATCTGGAGGAAATCCTTTGAAATTAGATTCTAAATCCACATTAATGCCAAGTAGGTAATGAGAACTGAGAGGTACTGAATAGGAGCATGGGGGGCAATAGGAAGAAATCTACTTGTTTTCTATTCTCTCTGCAATAAGGTAAGCCAAGTGCTCAATTTTTTGCTTTCCATAAGTCAAGGTTTATTTGAGCTGTATGTGTGTGTGTTGTTCTGTAATAAAACACACAATGACAAAAACCAGGGTCTTAAAACATGACTGCTTCAAAAATGTGTCACCATTTCTCAGCCTTTGGTTTGAATTTATCAAGGATGATGTCAAACATACAAACAAACTGGTGGCTCCAGTGATTCCAAAATCACAGAGGCAGGAAGCAGAAGGATATGTATTCTGGCCCCTCTTACTCTCTACTCACTCTCTGGCATATTCCAGCACATAATGTCTCAGCCAAGTATACATTATTTTCATTCAAGGAAACAGCTACCAGTATTCTAAGCTATCCCAGTCTGAACAAAATATATCAAACCCTGTTTTCTTTCTTGCAAGGTCTTTCAGGGAGAGCGTGGGCTTTTATGTGTTTTATGGGGATGCCATTTCCCATTGGGATTTGCAACCAGAGCCTTTCAACCTAATTTGCTCTAGGTAAAGAGCACATACCTAGTTGGGCACGTATTAGTTGTCACTGGAGTAGAGACAGCAGCTGCTATCATAGTTCTGCTTTTATCTGCCTCCTAATCACCATTACTGTTTGATTACAGTGGAAGCTGAAACAAATGCTGGATGGGCTTGGTCTGTAGAAATGTTCCATGTAAAACTATGTGCTAGTTTTTTTTTAAAGATTTATTTTTATTATTTTTTCATTGGAAAGGCGGATATACAGAGAGGAGAGACAGAGAGGAAGATCTTCCTTCCGATGATTCACTCCCCAAGTGAGCGCAACGGGCCGATACTATGCCAATCCGAAGCCAGGAGCCTCTTTCCAGGTCTCCCACGCGGGTGCAGGTTCCCAAAGCTTTGGGCCGTCCTCGACTGCTTTCCCAGGCCACAGGCAGGGAGCTGGAAGGGAAGCGGGGCTGCCGGGACTAGAACCGGCACCCATATGGGATCCCGGGCGTGCAAGGCAAGGACCTTTAACCACTTGTGCCACCGCGCCGGGCCCTATGTGCTAGTTTTAACAAAGAGATCTGAGCTTTAAAGAAAGTCTATTGTCATCGTATGTTTTGGGTCACGTTGCCTGAGATGGGGAGAGCTACCACTCGTCTCTGAAGTTTTTCCGCAGCTTAAGGAGTGAATTCTTGCTAAAGCTGTTTTTCAGCAGAACTATTTAGGTTGGTTGATAACTATATAGATCCTTTCACCTAATATAACCCATAAAACCACAGCATGACACACATGGCTTGAGGTATTAGGGTCAAAATGTCTGTGTAGAAGGTCACTAGGTAAGGGAACAATCCAGAAAGCAAGATCCTTTCAGAAACAAAAGCTAGAGTCCATGACTGACGAATAAATGGTAGTTGCTGGGCTAGAAAATTCCAATGGAAAAAAAACTACAAGTTAGGTTTTAATCTTTCTGTGGGCCAGAAAAATTATTCAAGCAAGGTTGACGATCTCTTAGAACTGCAGGGGATGCATGGCCTTTGCTGCTAATGACAGCTGTCACATACATCCTGTCAATCACAGATCCATCCATACATCCAAACCCAAAGTAAAAATCGGCCTTTTCTGATAAAATCAGAGAAAGAATCCCTGGAAGGAACCAGATGACAATGAATGACCTTCCAAAATATTTCCACTAAAAACCATTTCCCTGGAGGAAAGTTGTAGCCATTTGCTAACTTGTTTACTTTTTTAGAGACATTTCTTAAAGTTACTGGGGTAGCAGTATTGGAAGCAAAACATTTTCCCTAGCACTAAGAAGGGGATTTGACCAACAGGAATGGTTAGTTGTTTGGAAACGGGTGTTTAGGGCTTGTTTTTGAGAACTCTACTATGGTGCTTGTGTGTCTGTGTACTGATGAACTGTTCTAAAATCTGGCAGCAATCAATAAAAATAAAAACATGATCTGAACATCACTAAGAATAAACCCCTTAGGCAAGTATCTGTCTGCCTGCTCTCTGTATCAGGACTAAAACCATGGTACAACAAAAATTCTGGACAGGAGGGTGAAGTTGCAATGTAAGTATGTAAAGATCTGCTCATGATCATTGGAGTCAGCAGCAAGTTACCTATAAGAACCAAGAGACTGTATACCATCCAATTCCACTCCCATTAATTCAAACATTAAAATCTGGTTGAGCTACTGAACATCCAACTGGAGTCATGCAGCATTTTACAACAGGTAGTGAAATTATTGACCCCAAGATAAACACTCCTATTTAGTCATTTGTTATTATCAATATTTACCAAATACCTATTGTTTATTTATCTTGGAGAAATTGTGTTGTTAAGTGGGGTGGAGTATGATATGGCCATCACAAGGCAAGGTCTGATGTTGAAGCTCTTCACAGAATAACGCATCTCTAGAAGAACAGCCAAAGGTCCCTTGTGCTGTTATGTACCAACCAGTGCAACCGAGGAGACAGATCAAGTAGGAGAAAGACTGGCTCTGTGTTATCTTACTGGCCTATGTTTTGATTTTAGGTCACTGCATATATTTTATTGGTAAACATGAGGTTTCCAGCTCAGTGTCTCAAAATCGAATTACTGGGGAAGTGCTTTGTACCGTTGACTCAATGGTCTAGGACTGAACTAACAGGAATCTTGAATGAGAGTTTTCAGGAGAGCTGTGCTATCTGTATATGGGCACAGCTTACATATTACAAGGTCTGCTTTATCCTTGATGCTACTAATAAACTCATACACTGTGAGTAGCTAATTTAAAAACAAACCTATGGTTAGAATCACCCAAAATGGAAAGGAACCTTGATCCCTCTCTGCCCTTGGAGCCTGATAATAATAGACTATGTATGCAGGACATAATATTGGTTGCTTGGTCATACATCTGATTTATAGGTGGTGGTCCCTAACTATAACCTGCAGTTGTCAAGCCATTTTATCACAGTCCTCTGCACATCACATAACTCTGCTCCTGTGGCCGGTGCCATCTTCCTTGCTGACACGGAGTCTCTTTGTATTCTACTCGATTCATTCTCAAGAAATGAAGAAATTCTCAAGATATTTTTTTCTTCCTGTTCTAATGCATCTCTGTTTTCTGGACTCTATACCAGTCTATGCCAGTCTAACAATTTAGTACTCAATGTTTAACGCAAGCATAAATTTAATCCTTGAGTGTCAAGCATATCAAAACTCTCTTGCAATTATTAGACACATATTAACACAGCTCTTATTTCAGGAATGGCATCCCAGTGAAACCAAGAGTGAGGATTCGTTCTTGAGACCCTCAACAATACAACTCTACTGCTAACACCAATCTCTAGGAAATGACATACTGTCATGACACCATCAGAAGAATGATACGAAAAAGCTGACCTGGAATGCACAAGGTGTGTTGTCCACGCAGTAAACTCTCAAATTGTAATCCAACGAATTGCAGGACATGCAGCCAAACACTGCCACTTTGAGCTGCTTTACGGCACAGTCTGTGATGGGCTCACCAGTGAGGGCGTATGTCCCAAAGCTGTCCAGGAGCACGTGACATGCAAAGGGATCCAAAAGGCAGTAGCAGGATGTAGATTCATCCTCCACTGACATCACTTCCTGTTGGGGAAAAGAATGTTAAACTATCTGGGGTATAAGATGTGATTATAAAAGTCACTTTGCAACGACATAAAGAAAGACTTTGAGAGTATGATTGTCCTACTTGTCCTGACATTAACTGTTTCTCTTCTGTCCAACGCTTGCCTAACTTGAAAAATGCAAGACATGGTTACGTTCAACATGTTAGCAAGTGGCTTGCTAATGTGTTATAACAGAAAGGACTTTGGATAAATTAACGAAAGCATAGAATTTTCAATGTCAAGTTTAAAAAACAACGTGGATTATTAGCTTTAATGATTTTTGTTTTTTTTTACTACAAAGGCATGTTTCAGAAACTTCAGTATCCTTAATCTTTATGTTCTGTCCTACATTTTATCTTTTTTTCTTTCCACCAACATCACTGAAGAAGAGCCATTCAACAGATGATATGGATAAGATGTACTGGAATATTTCATTCTCCTTGATAAGAATGTGAGAATGTTTGACTGGGTGGGTTGAGCACAGATCTAACACTATTCAGAGGCAAAAGAAGTGAGGAAGCGTTGAGAAGAAAAATGAGAATGGAGAAGATCAGGGCAAGCGAACACCTAAAGAGGAGACCAATACACGTCCCCTGTGTGTGTCCCCTGGTGGTTCATTCTCAGAGGATGGTGTTGCCTGTGGATTGTACTGGGGCATATATAAAGAGCAGAATGTTTCTGGAATAAGGTGAATAGATGTGCTTCAAGTCATAGTTGGTCACAGTCACTGTAATCCACTGTAGCATGTGGGGTTTTTCTTCTCCCAAAGAAATGCAAGTTTGCTCTGACTTCTTTGACTTGAAGTTCCCTGAGAGAAACCAGATCCCAGGGCTAGGTGCAACAGGTCATTGTGCTGCAACAGTGATGCATCTGCTTGCATGCAAACATAAAGGGGTTCCTAATAGATAGATGGGAGTATTCATGTAAAAATGTTTCAACTGTAATCTTTCTTTGTTGTGACTGTCACTTGTTCTTAGGCTTCTATTCTCTATTTTTAATCTGTTTCCTGATTGTCTTTCTGTACTGTATTACTGCATGGAGATATAAACAAGCCCTAATACTGCTTAATACCAATTCAAAAATATGTTAAGCACTGACTGCATTAATATACATTGTAGCCCCCTGTGTACCTTGAACCCCCTTGAGTAAACTCCACCGAAGTTGAATAACACTGATTTAGGGAACAGAAAGTGATATGACTCAATACAGATGGTAAGCACGTCACCCTGCATGGGTTATTACAACTGCTTTCTAAAACCAGATACAAAGGTATGGCTTATCCCTCGTCTCTTTCTTTTTTATGGAAAAATGATCCAATAGCTTTTGAATGTTTCAGAACACATGCCATCAACCCTTCCCAAATGGAAAATGCTCAGAAATTCACAGCTGAGCCACTGTGTAAAGAAAGGTTAAGGTTAAATCTATTCATAGGAAGAACACAAATTTCATTTCTCTTTTTAAAGGAAGAATAGGGTCTCACCTCCCACTTGCCTTGCTGTGTTCGCTTCTTTAAGTGGATGTTCCAGTGCTCGGAGCTGACATCAGCACAGTGCGGGATGGTCAGAGCGAAGGGCGTGGTGACCACCATATCTGGAGGGCCACAGGTGACCTCAGGGCTCAGGAGTACCTCCGATCCATCTGACTGCAGGCTGCCCGGAGCAGGAGGAGAGAAAGGCGGAGAGGAAGGTAAGAAGGGGCAGCCTCCCTGCCTGAGAATTCATTCACCTGGGGTGGTCTTCAGACTGAGTCAACTCCAGGATTCCCTATGGGTAGCCCCATCCTCAGGAAGGGCTGGTTTGGAGGGCAGGCATTTGTCCTGAGCTTAAACCTTGATTCCCAAGCAAGGCTGTGGCAGACAAATCCCTCAAATGTTAAAGCTTTCTTGGGAAAAAATGGGACAGAAATGGAGACCTGTGGTCATCTGACCTGTAGGCCACAAATATGCTACTGAAATCCCTTCCTACCAATGATGTTACACATCAGGATGACTGATCTAGTGATCTTACTTATTCCTAGCAGGAATTTATACCAATTTATACATAGAGAAATAATTTTTCTTTTTACAATTTTTAAATTTTGATTTTTATGGTACAATTCTGTATAGTCTGGGATTCCCCTCCCTCCAATCCTTACCCCAAATTGATATACATATATAATTTATACAGATGTAATTTCATGCTAGTAAATGATAGAAGAAATTATTATGGCACAAAACAATGCCTTAAACACCCCAAAATTGGCTGTGTCTATTCTGGCTTTGAAAGCATTGATTTTCTGCCAATGCACAAGTACCTGGGTTATACAGCGATAGTATAGTAGAAAGTTGCAAATGTGCATGCTCAAATGCACAGATTATCCCCCTTTCACTGCTGTCTTAGGCTGAAGCTTAAACTTGTGTCATCCAATCTTGTGTTCAGATTTGTCTACATTATGAACCATTTACAACGGAAATGCCAAGTCATGAAACATGAAAGTGAAACTTAGATGATATACAACCAAACCCCTTTGAAGCACTCATTTTCCTAGTTTTTCAATCTTTGCCCCTCAGATAGACGGGGTAGCTTCTCTGGGACAACAATTAGAACAATTTACAAATCTACTTATTTTTCCTCAGCTGCATATGTGTTCATGAAGAAATCATCTGATCTTTTTTTTGTTAGATTTTCACTTGTAACAAAGAAAATAATTTAGGACTCATAGCTGAACAATTATTATGCATATCAAAGCTTTCACTCGCGTTACCTAGGTGGACATTTAAATACATTGCGCCAGATTGAAGAAAACAACACTTCGGCCACGTTAACATGTACTTCTAAAGCTGCCATCTTTTGTGCCATGTCACATCTGCAGTGCTTCCATGAATGCATCTAGCAGGTTTTTAAATTCTGAGGCTGCCACTCTATCTCAAGTTAGTAATGGCCACACTCAAACTCGATGTCAGTAATCTGCAGGACAAGTGCCAGGACCTTGCACCCTGCAGGAGATTCCAACAGACCTGACCAGCACCAGTTTCCCTCTTTGCCCAGGAAGCACTGGAGGTACCTCAAAGCCCAGTCTTTCACAGAGGTAATTCTTTCTGGTCAAGCAGCATGTGTGTGAGGCAGCCGTGTGGTTGTATGTAACTGTAGGCTGTGCAGCAATGAGGAGAGGCACTGGAACAGCATTGCCTGAGCAACAGCAAAGGCTCCCTCTGAAGAGCCACAAACGATGCATTTGAGGTTGGAAAATGCTGTGCCATTCGCACATGTGTTGTCACCAGCACACAGTGGCAGCCCATGTGTGGACGCCTGCCAGTGGCCATCAGAGAGGGTTAAGTGATTTCTGCGTAATTATTGTCTGTATTCATCACAGCCAGAAGTGGCAGCGATGCTTATGAGTGACCGATGACAAGCACTCCTAAAAGAACTATTTAATTGCTTTCGGAGAATCATCCCCCTGGTTGAACATATTGTTTAAACATATGGGAATTTAGGGAATTATTTAATGCCAAATGAACTGAAATTCACTAATTAGATGAACTCTCACACTCATGGAGAATAGCAAGATTTCTTCCGCTTATAACTTACACAGCACAAGCCGCTGGAGCCAGTGCTTGCGAGGCTTGGTATCAGGTGGAGCCTGGCATAGGACTTCGGCAATGGAACAGGCAGAGCATGTGACTCAAGATTTCCAACTCATCTGTCTACCATGAAATTAATCTGTGGGTGTAGGTCTCTCTCTGGTGAGAGAGCTTAATCTCCCTGTTTCTTTGCTGATTAATAATAATAATTTGCCCTTTTCTGCCACCTTCTATCTGTCGCAATCAGGGAGACAGGCAAATATTAATTAAGGCCCTCTGTACACCTGTGGAGGCAGGTGTTAACGGCAGAAGGTCACCACGAAGTCAATCAAAGTGAAGGCAACAAAATGACTGTGTTTATTTCTCACAGCTTTCTGTCCTCTGCAGGCAGACTGTGCTTCTCTGATGCCATTAGGATATGTCTGGCTCTAGTGACATTCCAAGGTGAGACGTGGGTAAAACCTAGCCCAACAGGGGTCACAGATACAGAAGCAACACATCTGAGGCTAGAGGGTTAGGGATAGAAGCCTCCAGTTAGGGGTAGACAAACACAGGCCTTTGTCAGGAAAGCACAGATGGCATGCATGTGTTTTCCATGTTTCATCATGCATGACTAGGCAGGACTTGCCAACCCTGCTGTGAAAAAGTAGGTGACACATTTTTCTAAAATGGTTGCGAGCTAAAAATTAGTAACAGCAGAGATTTCAGAAGTGTAATATGAATTAGTTCAGTGTACCATAAACTCTAGTGTGACTGTTGCAAATGCAAAAAGCCTTATTTCACAGGATATGGAGCGCTTTCTCACTGAGATCTATCCATCTGTACGCACCTGGGTGCATACACACAGTCCACCTCTTATACATGGAGAGAACTTTCCAGGACTCCCACTAGATGTCGGGATCCATGAATGGGGGGACCAAAGACTACATATGCGTTAAGGGGTCCTCCAAAAATTCATGCAAGATGAGCATTATTTTAAAAATATGCAAGGTTTTTCCATTTCTTTTTTTGCACACAGAAACTTACAACTTGATATCATTTTCATGACTATCTTGAAATATCCTGATATGTTTTTTCTTACATGTACAGACATAGGATAAAGATTGATTTATAAACCAGTCACATCAAGAGATTAGCAGTAAAATTTACTAGAAAAATGGCCATCATGAATTGTTACACAAATGTGGTTTCTTTCTCAACATGCCTTTCTGAACTATAGTCCTTTTGTGATGATGCAAGATGATTTAAAGCCTAGAAATGAGATTGTGATTTAGTGTTAGACTAGTATATCAGGACTGTTCAACCATCACTGGGATGACGCAACAGTGCGTTTGACAGACAACTACAGCAGACAACTGCACGGATAGCATGTAACAGTGTGGACACCCTGGACAAAGCATCAACTGATGTTCCAGACACGATGGAATGCAATTGGATGAGATTTCATCTTATTACTGAGAACTCTACAAACTTAAACCATATGATTTATTTATTTCTGGGATTTTTCACTTAATATTTCAAGCCAAAATTGACTGAAGGCAACTGAAACCACAGAAAGCGAGTGGATAAGGGGATATACTGTACGTACAGTTACAATATTGTGTGTGGCTCAAAAAAGATCAATACTTAGAGAGCTAGCTTTTATTTATATAGGAATGCTGTTTTCTTACATGGCTAGTTGATCCCACGGTATGGATGCACACTTGACCACAAATTTCAAAACCTTAGTAATGTGCGTCATGGGAATTTAATGCACCTTGGCAAAGATAACCTCATGCTTCTGTGCTTGCTTCTGCACTCCATCCTCCAACTCAGCAATATGAGTGATCTTGCTAAAAATGCCAGTTGTTCCTACTCAAGGAACTGCTGCTACCCCTGCTGTGCAAGGTGCTGCTTCCCTCCCCCCATGAACAGGATTTAGCTCCTTTAAGCTCTTCAGATACTTGCTCAAATGACTCCACCTAATGTAGTTTTCCCTGATCACACTTGGGTAATTGCAACATTCCCTATACCAAATCTTTGCTTTGCTTTTTCTCCTCAGCGCATAATGCTTCCTAATGTGCTAACCCATTTACTTAACTATTTTTGTTTGGTCTCCTACAACTAGAATGTAAATGTCATGGTTCTTCGATTCTTATTCCTGTTGTGAGCATCATTGGGTTCTCAATGCTTGATAGATGCTTATTTTAAGCACTCAAAAAATATTTGGTGATAAGGGCATATGGAAAAGCTTGAGGATTCTTACTGATCAAATCTAACAATTTCAGCATCAAATATTGGTAGTACAGGCTTATAAGTGGCTTGTAATTTATTAAGTAATAGAAGAATGCAGAAAATATTGGCATGAATGAATTAGAAAGCTCTTCACTACAATGGAAAACCAGCTGTAAATGTAGAAGTCTACCACATAGCAATCAGTTAATATAAAACACGTTACTATTTGGCAATTGCCTTGATACAGTAAAGAGTCATAAGTGAATGTTTTGAGTGAAAATTTTAAGAGTAACACAGAATAATTTACATGATCTCAGTGTATCTTCCCAGAAGGTGCTTCCTCATTATAAAAGGCAAAAATAAGGGAAAACCTTGACTTCTGATAGCCTGAATTTTGAAAGTTCCTTGGCAAACAGAAGCTGACATTCACTGTGAGTTTCCTTTCACAGTGTACCACACAAATCATGCAAAGAAACATCAGCCAACCATAGACTGAAGGACATTCTGTGAAATAGCTAACCAGTACTCAAACTGTCTCAAAACAGACTCATGGACTGCTTCTGATTAAAGGACCAAAGAAACAAGACAACAGACTGGCATAAATGAAGCTGGAATTTTCATTTGCATAAAAGGAACATGACTCTGACAACAGGTCCAACATAGAAGGATGCCTGTGCTGAGGTGACCATGATTGAGCTATGCTAACTTGTTTGTTTTGTGCTGTGATCATATAAGAGGATCTGTTATTTGGGAAAATACATACACATTAAGGTATCTGGGACAAAGGGACATCTTGTTCACGTGGCTGAACAACCTATTCATTTGTTTATGTGCCAATACTCACAAATAGGAAAAAAATACAGAAAATATAGTAAA